GGGTGGAGATGAACAAAGATGCAGTTCTTCCTTCACTCTGTATTGAGTGATGATGTACGGAGCATCCTACGCCAGCACATATGCCGGCCAATAGGGATACAACAATGAATAAAAACCTACATGGTTCCTGAACTCATAAAACTTATTTTTAAGTTAACGAACGATGTTATTCCAGAGTGCTGAAATTTGGTGTCAGACATGCAAGGAGAGTGTCAAGGATGTGGCCCTGTGGACAACATTCTAGCTTAGGTCTGGGGAGTGAGAAGAGTTGGCCTGGAGGAAATCAGAGACAAGGAAGAAACCCTGATGGCAGGAAAAGTCTCAGATGTGTGACAATCTGAAATGGGTGGCCCTGAACACAGTGGCATCTAGGTAGGTAGGGATCAGGTCAGCTTCCAGAGGAATTCTGAAAGGCCCTACAAGGTATCTTGATCCCACTCACAGCGCACTGGGGAAGAACTGAGAAATCTCAAACAGGGGTGTGATGAGATCTGCCTTAAGGTTTCTGTATATTGACCAGGGTAGGTAATAATTGCATCATATTTGATGTAATTACATAGGAATCTAGACAGGAATAAACCCAATCAAAGGGTCCACTCATGAGAGCCATGCTTATCTCACTAGACTATCACCATGGGGAAGGAGGGTTAACTAATTTTGCCTTTCACAGTATTTTGTGAGCTGCTTGTGACAATAACATTCTACATCACCTGAGATTGAACTCTTCCCAAGATGGGTTAAACCTGAGGCTCCCGGAGAGAGCAGGGTAAATTTACTTTAATCCCAGAGGCTCTATTTTTATCTGTGGATCAAAGCTTTCTTTCTCTTAAACAAACACAGCCCTGGATATTTCAAGTGCGTGGCTTTGCAGATAAATACACGGCATTAATTGTGGGGTTATTTATGCAAGTCTCTGGATGGACAGGGACTCTATTAAAGATGAGGTCTACAAGACTATTTTAAGTTGGAATATTTTTTTAAAAAAAAAATTGAGACCTTAGTCCATTCATGTGCTCATTGAGCAAGTTGCTAGCCACTAGCTAGCATGGTGGTCCCACCCCAGCCCATGGGCTCAGAAACTGCCTCTCTAAAATGATCTCACTGAAAATGGGGTAAACCAGGAAAGCAGCCACATGCTTTCCCAAGGGAGAAAACACTCTGAATTGTTTATAAGAGGGTTGACTTTTAAAAAGTCTCTGAACAAAAGCCGTGCTGGGTGCCAGCTTGCTTTGCGTAACTCCCCCAGAGCCGCAGCCCCCAGCTTCCTGTACCATTGTTCCTTGTGGTGGTTGGGAAGAGGGTGGCTGTGGGAGACCCAGATGACTTCTCCTGTTTACACTTCTCTCGAGGGGGCTCTGTTGTTCTGTTTCCCTGCTGAATTAGGGCAGAGCCGCCCTGTGGGTGGGAAGTAGTGATGGCAAGGGGCGATCTCCTGTGGCTTTGAAGCCAGGGATTGTTTGGGACAGTGACAAACACAATTCAGATGTTCAAGTTTATAAACTGGGGTAGAGAACTCTGCTGGAGGTCTAACCTAGGGTGAGTCGTTCCTGTTTGGGTTGTGTTTCTAGGAAGCCCATGTCCTTGACCTCTCTTGGCATCTAGTGCTGGCTGGCGTGAAGCGTGGAAAAACTGAATTCTGTCATTTTCTTCTCCATTCTCTTTGTCTTTATCCTTCTTTCTTCTCTTTCTCCTTCACCTCTTTTTCCTCTTCTCTTTAAGTCTTCTCCCTCCCCCACCTTGATCTCTAATGTCGACTCTATTAAGGTAAAACTAACACACATAAACTGCACACATGTAAACTTTCACACACCTGTACATCTGTGATAGATTCCTTGACACCAAGTTAGTGAAGATATATCATACTTACGCTGGTTATTTTTCATTTCATTTTATTTTTGTCCATGTGACACAAGCTGGAGTCCCCTGGGAATCGAGAATTCAAGTGAGGAATTGCTCCCATTAGGTTGGCCTGTTGTTGACAAGTCTCTGGGGCATTACCTTGGTGATTGATATGGAAGGGACCACCCTGCTGTGAGTGGTACCACTCCTGGGAAAATGGCCCTGGGCTCTATTTAAAAACAAGCAAACAAAAAACAAGGGAGTAAGAAAGCCTCTGTAGTTTCTGCTTCAGTTCCTGCCTCCAGGTTCCTGCTTTGGCTACCCTCAAGGATGGAGTGTAACCTGTAAACTAAAATAAGCCCTTTCCTCTCTAAGTTGGTTTTGGTTAGTGTTTTATCGCAGAAGTAGAAAGCAAGCTAGAATATCCAAATTTTTCCTTGTGTCCCACATTCATCTTTTACATTCTCATAACCCGAAAACCTTGACCTGCAGCCATGCTACCATAGAATAGTTGACACTCTAGTGTTTTCTACCAATAAAATACTTAAGTAGTCACTGCTTGCTGCCTGGCTTTTTTCAGTACAGTTACTCCAAGACGCATTTAGATTATTGTACAAGCAATAGTCCGTTCTTTTTTAATTGTGTAGCATTACATTCTGTAGACACAACCCATCGGTTTATTCATCTGTTGGTGGACACTTGGATTATTTTCAGGTTTCAATAATTGCAAAATAGCTGCATTGTTAAGAACATGTGTGTGTAACTTTTTGCATATGGGATTTGTTGTCATTTCTCTTCAGCAAAAACTTAGCTTTGGAGTGTTTTGATCCTATGGTAAGTGGGTACCATTTATTTATTTATTTTTTACGTAAGTGTTAAATTCATTACCCATGTGGTTGAATTTGATATTCCCATGAGCCGTGTTTGAGAGCCTCATGGTCGCATGTCTCCAGTTCTTGGTGTGGTTGCTTAAGTTTTGGAAATTCTAATAGGTTAATTGTAGTATTTCACTTTTTAGATGTAGTATTAGACTTTTTAGATGGAGCCTTACTATGTAGTCTGGCTGGCCCAAAACTTGCTGTGTATCTCAGGCTGGTCTTGAACTTGCAATTATTCTCCTGACTCTGCTTTCCATCTGCTGGTGTGCACCACCATGAGGAGCCATTTTGCTCTCCCCCAGTATCAGTGGTGGTGAGCATCTTGTGATATGATCACTCTCCATCCACATATTCCACTCACAGAATTTCTGTTAAAGGATTTGGGTTATTTAAAAATTAGAGTTGCTTTTTAAGACTTTTAGGAAATCTATTACCTAAATTTAGGTCCCTTACATTGTTGTGCCCAGATTGTGGAACCCCAAAAGAACCCACCAACAAGGAGACAACTCACCAAATGCAAGGACAAAGGTTTGTTTTGAGGATACAAGCTGCAGCAAGGACCCCGTTTATTCGGGAACAAATGGCCTATACCCACTTTCAACTAAGGGGTGTTTTTATAAGGGAAAACTGTAAGGCTGGAAGCCCCAAGATTACAAAACTCCCATGGTTACACAGGACAGGACAATGGTTGTATGCTTCAGGCAAGGTGCAATTAAGCAGGATGCTGCAGAGGAAATGAGT